TGCTTCCCAGCGTACATACATGCGTGTCCGTGCTTCCCAGCGTACATACATGCGTGTCCGTGCTTCCCAGCGTACATACATGCGTGTCCTGCTTCCCAGCGTACATACATGCGTGTCCGTGCTTCCCAGCGTACATACATGCGTGTCCTGCTTCCCAGCGTACATACATGCGTGTCCTGCTTCCCAGCGTACATACATATGTGTCCTGCTTCCCAGCGTACATACATGCGTGTCCGTACTTCCCAGCATACATACATGCGTGTCCTGCTTCCCAGCGTACATACATGCGTTTCTCCCCAGCAGAAGTGGCCAGTCTCACTCTCCAGCAGAAGTCCAGGGAGAAGCCATTCCCACGTGCTCTCTGCTCTTACATAATGAACTTCGGCTAAGTGCAGGGCACACGCTTTCTGGGGAGTATAATTTGTCAGAACCTCAGGGAATTTGGGTTGAGAAATTGCCCCTTTCCCAAGCTCACCCTGTGGATGCTGGATATTACACACTTCAGCACTTGGGTTTTCCGTGTAATCATTGTGGTGGTAGCTGAGGGTAGCCCATGGTAACCACTTTCATTCCTGTCTGCATCTTTTCAGATTCCATAACCTCATCCTTTGGTGTCCAGTGCTGACCAAGAATCCTAGTCTTAAGGTGGGGAGTCAGTGTTCCGTGGAGTTCCCCATCTTGGAGCCTGTCGAGTCCCCCAAAATGGAGGGAAGCTTCTGGTTCCTATAGCTCAAGTTCATGAAACTATGTGGGTTTCATTGTCTCAGCCCATGCTCTCTATTTCCCTTCCTAGCTGGGCATCTCTCAGACTCCTGCTAAAATTCATTTGTTTCTCTTGAGCTTTTTATTGGACTGGATTGTGGGGAAGTGGCCCAGGAGCACCACAGGGGGTAGGACAGAGCCAAACTCAAGTCAGTCTGCCAAAGACTAGCGGTAAAGTGAGCAAACTGTGCCGGGGTCCGGAGCCGATTCGTGATAGCCGTGGCTCCCTCGCCTGTGGTCTGGGCCATCGGTACTGCCACAGCCACCTTTGGCTCTCCCTGTCTTGAAGCCCTAGTGGCCAAAAGTCTGTACGTCTGTTCTCTTAGATGCCTGCTGGGAATCATCCTCAGAGAGGTCAAGGCCACCTGGGGAAGTGTCTGTTCTGCCAGCAAGCTGGGGAGTTTGAGCTTTTTCCAAGGTGATCTCTTTCTGAATCATAATATTTTAAGTTTCACAGGATAGGAAACCATGCGATTTTTAAAACCCCTTGGTATTAGGCAGGGTGGAGCTTAGTGTTCTGTGTCTCTAAGGAGGAAACTGAAACCCAGAAAAGTGAGGTAATTTGCCCCAGGGTTGCACAGCAAGGCAGGCAGGCATGAGCTTTATGTCCCATTGTCTGTCCAGGGCCGGGAGCCTGAGTGCTTGCAGCATGGAAGGCAGGTCAAACCCCCGAGGGCGGGCCTTGATGTGGAAGTTCCCCACACCACCAAGAGCTAGGAAGCAGAGGTCTGTAGGTCAGAGACCCTTCAAGAGAAAGTGCGAGTCCCCCATCTTGGCTCCCCAGGGCCTTCCGGAGGGGCTGGACTGTGTGAGTGGTGGATTGGGAGGGTTTGGGTAGAGACTGAGCTGTGCCTCCCTGGCACTTGTAACCAAACAGAACCATCCCAGCCCCTGTCTTACAGCCCCATACCACATGGAGTAGGTCCTTCATCTTGTCTCCTCTCCTCCCGCCTTCAGTACTCAGGGAAATCCTGCTTCCATCGCAGGTAGACAGCTTAGTCAGCAGGCATGGAGAACCTACTGTGTGACCCACAGCATGCATGCTGGAGTGGAGCAGTGCACCAGTGTGGAGAAGAACCTACTGTGTGACCCACAGCATGTATAGGACTGGAGTGGAGCAGTGGACAAGTGTGGAGAAGAACCTACTGTGTGACCCACAGCATGTGTAGGACTGGAGTGGAGCAGTGGACAAGAAGCTGCCCTTGTCTTGCCCTTGATGACAGTGACATCCCTAACTCTCTACCTATAGCCCAGATACTGTGAGCTGATTACATTCCCCATGTAAGGCCCAAAGCAAGGTGATGCCAACCACAGGAGGCCAGGGTTCAGGACGGCACATGGCCTGGGTGCTGTGGGTGTTGTGGATGCACAGTGCTGGATTGGGTGAAGAGAAGGCTTCTGAAGATGGCAGATCTTGAACAAGGAGAGGCAGGCAACTTGTAAGGATCGAGGAGTCGGGTGTTTCCTGCAGATTGAGTACGTGGAAGGGACCATACGATCTGACTGAAAGAAGGGGTTACCCACAAGTAGCTGGGTTTAGCTGTTAGGCTGGAGGAGCCTATTGTATGATATCAAGTAGGAGGAGTTACTCCCTGCTGTGCAGGGGGGGAGGCAGGCAGGACTGCCTCATGACTCTGGGACTTTGGTACTGAGGGACCAGTTTCTGAAGCCCCAGAAGTAATAGAACAGGTGTCAGGAGACGGGATCAGGGCTCTTGGGCCACTCTTCCTGCCAAACCACTGCTCCCCAACGGGGCCCTTGAGTCTGGCTGAGGCTAGATTTTAGACCCACCTCCCCAGCCCAGCATTCAGAGACTCATTCCTCTAACACGTCCGCACACATAGCCTTTTGAAAATGCAGACTTTCCCGTCTAGCCTAGGCTCTGGAGTGAAGCTGGGGTCAAGCTGGTGTGCTCCAAAAGATGTGGCACTGCCCACAGCTGGCCGAGTCCCCCTCAGACCCCGGACTCGGGCCCCTGCCAGCCTCTTCCTTTCCTCGTTCCGTTCAAATCGGTCTCTGTTGCAGTTGGCCAGGTACCCAGTCCTGGCTCTCCTGGACACTCTGTCTGTCTCATTTGTTTTCTGTTCTCACAGGGCCCCAGGCTGCCCATGGCTCGTTGTGCTCACAGATTTGGGCCTTTGGCTGGTTTGAACGGCTTTAATGGGAGGAGACAGATGGCAAGCGTGTGCGGCGCTCGGGTCCCTGCACCAGCCAGCACCTACAACATCAACTGTAGGCTACTATGTGGCTGGTTGACCAGCGAACCTTTCTCTAGCCTGGTAGCACTTGCTGCCAGCTCCAGACACCCACCTCTTGCCTGAGGCATTGGGCCAAGGGATTGCTACTTGGCACAGTGCTCAGGGTGTCCTGTTAATGGGCGGAGTTGTGGAGTCATTCTGAAAGGAATGCCAGACTTTGCATAAGACGATCTTGGTCAGTCTGGACTCTAAGCTCAGCTACCAGTTAAGGGGTGACTTCAAGCCACTTTGTCCCTTAGAACACCAGCTGCCCTTGTCTGAAGGGTAGAGCGGGGACACCAGTGGCCACAGTTGCTCCCCAATTCCCTGACCATTGTACTCTCATCAACTGAGCCAGAAGCAGCTTCTTTGTCCCCGTGGTATGGAGAGCTGTAGAGTTATGATGCCTCCCCACCCCCAGGCCTGTGTAAACATACTGTCTGTCTCCACACAGAAGGCGCAGGGGAGGGGAAAGTGGCCATGTTGACCAGCCCCCAGCTAGCTCTCCCCAGCTGCCAAATGGGTCAATGGCTGTGAGCGTCCCTGTGTTTGTAACAGTGATCCCAGGGATCCCGGGCTCCTGGACACCTCTGGAACTGGCTTTGCAGGGCCAAATGCTCTGCAGATTAAATTTCCGGAGAGCGAACAGCTGAGCCTCCCGGAGCCACTTCTTACTGTGGCCATCAAGGGGCTCCCATGTGTGTGTGCATTGTTCTCCTGGATGAAAGGAGGAGAGTGGCGGAGGGTGAGCGTGGTCCGGCGCCCCCTCCCTCCTGTGGACCACAGCAGCACTGGGCAGCTGGTGCTGCTCGGATTTTCTAGGACATGCCTGGAACAGAATTGCATGATAGGGTTTCGGGGTAGCTTTTCCCCCTCTTTAAATAATGTTTTTGAAGAGTTGCCATGGAGAACTGTTGGAAGCAGAGGGGCTGATGAATGTCTTTGGTCATGTCAGATGAGGACAAGATTACCCAAGTGAGGGAGAGTGTCCCTCCCGTCAGCAAGACTGTGGGGTTCCAGGGCTGCCCTGCCAGAAAGCCAGGGCCATAATCACAAACAGACTGCGATCACTTACAACCAGAAGTATTACTTTAGACTCTTGGCTTTGATGGGGAAGAATGCAGTTTTCCTTGGCCCCTCCCCCACCCTCTCAAGTTAAACAAGATCTGTGAAAGCCATAGCTCTGGGCCTTAAAGAGGCCAGAATTCAAGCCAAGGAGAGGTCTCACAGGCCCAGCTTTAGGAGTGCTCCACTGAGCTCCATTGGTGCACATTGGGGCTGGGGATAGCCCTGAGCCATTTGCTGTCCCCATCCCTCCTTGAGGTGAACTGGGGAATCCCGCTTTCCCATAGTCCGGACGTCCTGTCTTCCTGGGGCTTCCTCACCATCCGAGGGTCCTGGCGTTTTCTGCACGTGTGCCGTACACTCTCACAGTGTGTGGTGGGGGAGGTCAGATTGCTGTCTCAAAGAATATGGCTTAGGGCACTGGGATATTGGGGTCTAGCCTAGCCCTAGGGGTAGGAGCTGTTTCTCATCCTTTTTCCCCTACTCAACTGATACTTCCCAAGCAAGCCTCAGATGGACTGTCACACTCCTAGGCCTCAGTATAACAGAGCCATGGCTTTGTGTGGCATGCTACCCAGGCACTCAGCAGATCTTGGGAGCAATGTGGACCTTGTTGCCAGTGGAGTGGGATTATAACCAGCTGTCACTGGAGAGGAGAGAGGGAGTGTAGCTGTCATCTGGGCTTTGTAGAAGGAGAATTAGCATCCAGGGGACCTGCCTCACTAGCTCCCTGGTAAGTATTCACCTTCTTTTGCATCCAGGCCTCACTGCACAAGCAAATACAAACTTACCTCCTTGGATCTGGAGGGCCTCCTCTTACAGTGGGGTCAAAGCCTCTTGGCATGGACACAGCAACCGGGAACATTTTAGACCTCAGGCCAGTCTGCCTCAGTGTCCCCACCTCTGAAACCCCATGAGGATAGCCCACCACCTTACCTTGTAGATGTGGTCCCCAGGCAGGAAACTGGATGTGATATTAGCCAACAGGGCAGGTTCTGATCCAGAGGCCAAGGCAGGAGGAAGAGAAAGAGACAGTGTGTTCCAACTTAAGGGACAGGCTAAGCTGATGACATGGTGTTACCAATATTGCTTTTTTTCTGTGAAATAAAATTGTAGCATGCAGTGGCTGAGGGCTAGGTGTTTAGATGGGAGGAAAGAGATGCTCATAGCCCATCTCTGACCCCCCCCCCCACATAGCCTATCTCTGCTCCCCACTTTCTGCTGTTAGACTCTAGCTAGGCTTGCTCACTAAAGAATATTTCTAGAATGGAGTTGCCCCTCCAGGAGTCTAGAATTGGTAGGACGATTTGGGAGCTGAGAGATGATTAGAATATGGAGGACAGTCTAGGTCAGTTACCTCCCCAGCCTCCTCCCCCATCGCTGCCTGCAGAGAAGGTATTGAGCAGCCTTATTCAGAATGGAGAAATCCAGAGCCAAGCAGACAAGCAAAGCAAGCCTGTAGTCATGTGACACTATCGTCAATTCATTCACTAATGGACATTTATCTCCTGCTGTGTGTGCCAGAACAGAGGTGTATTAGAAAGACCTTCCTGGAAGAATTAAAGAGGAAACAGAGTTACCCATCATCACTCAGCTGAGGGGACCTTCTGCAGGCCCCTCCCTTCTAGTGTTGGTATTGGAAGACCTTGCCTCTCTCATTGTTAATCCTGTGTGTGTCTGTCACCACTGCCTGGCCAATCATTGTGGAGAGTCTGTAGTGAGCTGGGCGTGGACTAGGAGACTGTCTGGTTTGAGGTGATCTTTCTCTGCCTTAGACACATTCTCGGGAACCAAGGAAATGAGTGGGTGCCTACCCCTGGAGACATGGAAGTGAAGTGGAGCAGGAAGTTCAGAGAGCCTCACTGGACTACCACAACCCCCTCCAAGGCTCCAAGGTAGCCATCCCGGGACAAGGGACTTAGAGAACAGGTTAAATTCATTGGTGCTTTCGGGAGACTGAGTATGAGAAGCCTGTGCATAAGGCAGGCCAGTGGCCCTAGAATTACCTTCTCCATGCCAAGCATGGAGCAGAATGCCCTGTCCTGTGATTTTCAGCCCCACAGTCCTGCACAGGGTGCTGATATGACCTCTGCTGTAGACAGCCACAGCCACAGAATTCATGCTACATGCTAGGTCTCACATAGGCTCTGCAGAGTCCTGGTAACGCCTCAGTGGTTGTTCAGGCACCGAGTAGGACACCATGGCAAGGAAGCTGTTTGGGGTGTAGCTATCTCCCCTCTGTTCTCAGGGGGTAAGGGGAGCAGGTCTCTGGGGCCACCCACTCCAGAGCTCCAAGTTGTACCTGTTAGAGGTTGTTGTGTCTCCTGGTATGTGAGGAGGTGTACATGGTCCCAATGGAGGCTGTGGCCAGACTGCATAGCTTCCTCAGGTGAGCATCCCCTAGCATTCCTCCAGGAGCCGCAACCTTGCCCCTGGTGAGCGGCCTCCAGGCCTCTCTGAACTTTGCTCTTCGGTTCCTGTGAGGGGAGAGGCCCAAGTAGAAATGTTCCCGTTGGGTTCGCCAGCAGGTTGCGGGGGCTTCAGCTCTCATGGATGGGAGTGTCTGCCTCCTGCATGGCCTCAGGCCAGTTAGACAGCCTACAATAATAGCTGTTCCTCAGTTCCCCGTGGCAGATCCCCCGGGTCAGAGGGGATGCTGTCTGTAACTTTCCAGCATTGGGGAACTGGAAGAGAATGGCCAAGGAATAGCTGCAGTCCCTTCTACCCCGACAGAAGGCTCTGGGCTGGAGTGATGGGGGCTGAGGAGAACCAGCCCAGCCTCAGCTTACATAGACCCCAGGAGCCGAGCTTGAGAGATCCTGAGCATGTACAGAGAGGGTGGGCTGGCTGCAGAGATCAGAGACCGAAGAAGCCTGTGCCGATCTCTCATTGCCTGTGTTCTCAGCAACCGCTTAGTCAGCCCCTTCTCTGTCCAGAACACCCAAGCCAGGCCGGGGGTGCCCACAAGATGCCAGGCCAGGGGCGCCCACAAGACGCCCAGCTGAGCAGCAAGGTGCTGTCCTCAGAGATCTCTTGCTCTGGCTAGGGATATGGTCAACTCAAACCTCAGGTCAGAGTGCCGGGGTAGCTGGAGGGAGGAAACTGGGGTGCCAGCTGATGGGGGGTCAAGGAACTTCACAGAGGGGGTGGCTTGAAGGACAGGGCCCGAACACAGTGACAACCAGGGAAAACAGCACAAATGGGGACTCTGAGTCCCACAGGGTCAAAAAGAACAAGAAAGAAAGCATTTCCTCACAAGGGCCCATGAAATTCGAGTCGAGTGCTCAGCTCCCACGATACTGAGTAGCCAGCCTGGGTCCAGCAAGCCTGGGACCAGCAAGCCTGGGACCGTGTGCAGCTGGCGGCTGCTCCAGTCTCTGGTCTGTAAAACGGAGAAAGTATTTTCTGTCTGTTTTATTTATTTATTTATTTATTTTTGTTTTTTGTTTTTTGTTTTTTTCGAGACGGGGTTTCTCTGTGTAGTTTTGGTGCCTGTCCTGGATCTCGCTCTGCAGACCAGGCTGGCCTCGAACTCACAGAGATCCGCCTGACTGCCTCCCGAGTGCTGGGATTAAAGGCGTGCACCACCACCACCACCACCACCTGGCAAGAAGGTATTTTAATCCCGTGTGGTTATAGAGAAAGAAAATCACCAAGTGGCAGTTACTTCCTGTCCTTTTTCTCTGACAGGCAGGGGTAGGCAACCTTTGAGTCCCTGGCAGTATATAACATCTGGGGTTGGGGACAGAGGAGTCTATTGGATTCTTGAATTTGCCTCTATCTTCCAGCAACCTAGGAACTTTCCAAAGCAAGTTTCCCACCTATTACCTTAGAGCATCCCTTGGGAAAGGAGGGCAGGTAGTCTGTTCCCATTTTTCAAAAGAAAGTAGCTTGTAGGCCATCAGTGTTTTCTGAGGAGTAGTTTGTACACACGTGTGCTGGACGCCTGCTGAATAGCTCTTTACCCCCTCCCGTTCCTTTTGCTCCATATTAGGTCTAGGAGAAAGTTCACTGGGGCTCCTGGAGTGTCAGTACATTGGTTGATCGCCTTTGTTTAAGAGAAAACTCTGACCTAATCAAGTATCTTGCTCAACTTCAGGCATGGCTGTGTGTATTTTTCCAGTTATCTCCTATTTGGGGTGGTGGTTTTCCATTCAGTGTATGGCACAGGAAAACATCTCTCTGAAAAGCATATTTACATTTTCTTAAGCTGTCAGCTTCAGCAAACACTAGTACAGGTGTTGCTCAGATATCTTGATGGGCTTGGGGAACTGCGGAGTTCAAAGGACCCCAAGTGGGACACTTCTCCTGGGCACCCTCCCTGACCCACAGCATACTCAGGTGACACCAGTGGCTCCCAATTTCCAACTGGGAAAGGAGCCTGGAAAAGCATGGGCATTGGTGGTGGCTGCTCCCCACGCCACGCAGAGGAATCCACCCTGTCAGAAAGCCGTTGACGTCAGGGGGTGCAGAATTTCTGCAAGCCCTCTATTTAAAATTCCCCAGAAATTAAATCAGGAGGGTTTGGAGGGAGGAATGCCCTCAACAAATTGTAGGGTGGGTTTGTTTTGTTTATGGAGACAGTCTTTAAAGTCACAATTGCCCCCGTTTTATTTTTGCCCAATTGAAGAGGGGCTGGCCTTAGCTGGGAGGGCGGTTACAGCTCTCAGTAGAAACCTACGCAATTCTAAGGCCAGGAAACTTCTGTTTTTAGCAAAAGAGAAGAGGGGATTCATATACACATGCATCCACGTGTCCTCCTTAGGTACTGGAGAGAGCGCTCACTGTTCTTCCAGAGGACCTGAGCCCAAGTTCCATTCCCAGCCCATATATCAGATGGCTCACAACCACTTGTAACCCCAGTTCCAGGGTATCTGACACCCTCTTCAGGCCTCCAAAGGCACCTGCATGCACAAGACACACACCCACACAGACACACACTCAGAAAATCTTAAAAAACGAAGAAACAAAAAACTGAAATCACCAGACCGTCTGGGGACTAGATCAGTAGTAGATTACTTAGTAAAATCTTAGGTTCAATGCCCACCAACCTCCCAAAATTAACAACCACCGTGTAGTCCCACAGCCTCAGCTCCACACTGCCGAAACAAAGCCAGTCATGTTGCTAGGCATTTTACTTTCTTTGTTCCTTCCTCTCCTCACACTCCTGGCAGGTCATGTGATTTCAGATTCCCTTCCCTGCTCACAAGTGCCTCAACTGTCAGCCTCTTCCTCTAGCTACATTGACAAGCAGGTATCAACTCTAATTAATATGAGGTGTGTTCCCTGAAACCATCATCCACCCTCCAGCATGGTCCTTGCCGTGGTCTTGGCAGTACAGGGAAGGTATACTTGACGCTTCTGTTTCACACAGTGGGCATGGTTAGCCCCTTCCTGTTCTGTGGTTTGATGTTCTGCAGTGACTGACTCTCTCTCCAGATCTCCCCAGTAACTGAGTGAACAGGATGCAGCCAACCTCCTCTGTTGGAGCAGAGCTCACATTCACTCTCAGCCTCCATTCCCCCTGGTTGGGGCTGGTGACCCTAGTTGTTTATTCATAGTGGAGGTAGGTTTCTTCCTTGAAGTTGGAAATACAAGGATGAATTACTTTAAATACAGCCACATGGTCCCGAATGCTCAGTTAGTGATGAATCATGTGTACTGTGGTGTCCCCATAAGGTTAGGTCAGAACTGAAGAATTCCCATCTCCTAATGATGCCAGAGTTGTTGTAAAGTCGTAGTGGAAAACGTGACTTGTGTTTGCTGATGTAAATAAGCCTGTGCTGCTGTGACCTCCACATTCAGGGGGCAGAGCCCTGTGGGTCACAGATTCAAGGACAGCCTGAGCCACATGCTGAGACTCTCTTAAAGAAACAAAAAGCCAACAATTTTATTATTTATTTAGAACAGGGCCTCACTATGAAGCCCCAACTGGCCTTGAACTCACAGAGATCTGCCTGCCTCAGCCCTGCTGGTACAGGGCTGGTACAGGGATTAAAAGCATTTGCCACCATGCCTGGCTCAACAATTAAGCTTCAATGTCTATCATATAAAGATATTATAACACAGTTATGCCCAGTATATAGCACGTAACAATGATGAATGACAATGTTCCTAACATATATTTATTGTAGTGTAGTTTCAAACATTGTTTTAGTATGTACTCCTATTAAGAAAAAACTTTCTCTAACACAGTCTGCTATGTTATGCTCTTAGTGGTCTCATACACTTTACATTTATGGCATTTCCTGATTATATCACAAGAGCCCTTCAGGTAACTGAGCTAGACCATCTATGTGTATATTTTGAGTACATTCTACACTGTGCATACAACAGTGAAGTCTTAATACATTTTTTCATTCTGTCCCCACAGCTAGGTGGCACATGTCTTTGTATTATGCAAGCTGCAGAATGCATAGTTGTGGAATATGGCAAAGATGTGGTGTGGTATGGGGATACCTGAGGTTTGAAAAATGCTGACCCTAAGTCACTATTACCTGGCAAAACTCTTGAGTGTAGATCTTATACTAGAAAGCCTCTTTGGTCTGGGTGCCCCTTCCTCATCCTGTCACAGAGGAGATGTAACTTGGAGGTGGGGCTGATGGAACAAAAGCCACACCTTTGACTATCTGCGACTGGGTTGCTTGAAGATATCAGTGGAGTGGAGAAGAGTCAGTGAATGCTGGTTTCATCTGGGAAATAGTTTGGGGGGAGGGATACAGAAACATCAGGGCTGGTGAGATGCACCTCCTCAGCACATAAAGGTGCTTGGCTCATAAGCCTGGAAACCAGAGTTGGAGCCCCAGAACCCAGGGAAAGGTGGGAAAGCAGTCCGTGTCCGTAAAGGAGTGAACGGCTGGAGACGTTTGAAGGCGAGCTGGGTGAAAGGTGCGTCGAGTCAGACTGGGATGCCAGTCCTGCTGCAGTCTGCATAGCTGTGCGCTGTGCATGCCGCTCATTCCTAAGGCAGCCCGGGATTTCTGAGGGAGACAGGCCTTCCCTCCCTTTGCCAGTCCCACTTGTGGCCAACACCTTCCTTTGCCCTGGATATTCCCAGTGTCCACCTAAGATTTTGTTGTGTTTTTATCTTTTTGAGATGGGGTCTCATAGATCCTAGAGTGGCCTCAAACTCCCTTTGTAGCTGAGGATGAGCTTGAACTTCTGATCCTCTCTGCCTCCAGGTGCTGGGATCCCAGGTGTGTTCCTCTAGGCCTGGTGTATGCTGGGGATTGAGCCTAGAGCTTTATGGATGCTAGGCAAGCATTCTGCCAATATGGCTATACCCTCAGCCCTTGGTATAACAAAATATTTATTTTTACTATCTTTTTTTTTTTTTAAAGATTTATTTATTTAGTATACAATGTTCTGCCTGCATGTATGTCTGTCTGCAGGCCAGAATGGGGCACCAGATCTCATTACAGATGGTTATGAGCCACCATGTGGTTGCTGGGAATTGAACTCAGGACCTCTAGAAGAGCAGTCACTGCTCTTAACCTCTGAGCCATCTCTCCAGCCCTATTTTTACTATCTTTAATTATGTGAGTGTGGGGCTGTGTATGGTTATGCACCCTTGTGTGCAGGTACCCACAGAGGCTGGAACCATCAGATCTGGAGCTGGAGTTACAGACAGTTCTGAGCTACCCAACTTGGGTGCTAGGAACTCGGATTTTCTGCAAGAGCAGTGTATACTCTCAACCACTGAGCCACATCCCCAGGCTAACATCCTTCATCCTCCATCAGATCCAAAGAGCAAATGGTCCCTGTATTAAGCTGTGACTTTCATCTCTCCATTTGATACTTAGCATCTTGTTAGATTCTGACCTGTCATTACCATCTGTTTAGACCCCTCCCCCCAGCTCCTGGTCCTGGCACAGCTTCTTCTAAATTAGATGGTACCACCAACACAGCGTGTATGTCTTCACCCCGTGATAATTAAAACATCCGCAGGACAGGCTCCTATTGGCCCTCTGTAGACATGCCAGCCAGCTGCTGGGGCTCCTGCAGTCCTCAGCCCCAGAGGCCAGGGGAATCACACAGACTCAAGGGCCCGTAAGTTTGGGCTTTGGCACGTCCTGACCAACCAGGCTAGCAGGTCAGAACCCCCTACCTTCTTCGGCTATGTCCAGCATAGTTTGGTTAGTCTATAGAAGTCCATCCTGTGCCTCGTGAGCACCCCCTGGGGAATCTGTGTTGCTGGTTCCATGACGGTCATTGACGTCACCACTTTCTGCTCTGGCGTTTCCCTCCGTCCGTGGAAGCCGGGGCCTTGAACATGTTACATCCCCCGGCCTTGCTGCTGTTTCAGCGTCCTGAGACTCCTGAGGGCGTGGGGCAAACCTTTGCCAAGTATTCCCAGGACCTTTCCCAAAGCCAGCTCCGACAGCGTTTACAGGTGTCCAACAGTGCTGCCTCCTCCCTGGGTCCACTTGTCCCCCACTAGCCAGGGAGCATGCTCAGTCCAGTACCCACTCCTGGGAGTGGGCAGAAGGGTCATAGGTCCCTGTCCTCTGCCCGGATAGAAAGAGTTCTCTTCCTGTTGGGAATCGTAGGAGACATGTCCTTTCTGATACCCTCATCATTTTTTTTAAAGCGTTCTGCTGCTGGGAATGTAACCATCCAGCCCAGAGTCTAAGCAGCCCACCTGTCTTTTTGTGGTTTCTGCTCCTCCATCATTTCAAATGTCTCCTTCCTGCAGACACTTCTGTCCTACTGTTCATATCCTTTACCAATTTATTAAACATTACCTCACAGGATCATAGATCCTTCTGAGCTACCTCCTGTTTGGGGGAGATAAAGAGGTGGGCGGGAAACAGTGTCTGTCTGTCTGTCTCCATCTCCCTTTTCTCTTCCCCTCACATCCGGAGTGTTACCAGGATGAGCCCTGCCCCCTCCACTCTGCCCTTGCTCATGCTCCCACAGGCTGCCCTTCTCCCACACGCTGCCCTTCTCCTCGCTCCCCTGCAGGCCTCAGCTGCTGGTCCCCTCCAGTCCCCTGTGTGAACTCTCCCCTCACTCCGCTTTCCTTTGTGACAGCCACTAGCAGGGCATGAGGTGGCTGGGCCTCTGGCACCCAGCTGCCCTGTAGCTCCTACCGAAGCCTAGTGCCATCTTTTACTCTGATGCCCACCTCCACCTCCGCCTGGCCCTAAATATTGCCAGATCTACATAGTTTTCCCTCCTCTCCCTTCCTTTCTTCCTCCCCAGGGTCTCATGCAGCCCAGGCTGACCTCAAACTCACTATGCAGCAAAGGATGACCTTGAACTTGTGATTTTCCTGCTTCTGCCTGCTAGTGCTAGGGTTCCAGGCAGGCACCACCATGCCCAGTTTATCAGATCCACATGTTTTTGATGGTGACCTTCCCAGATCAAAGCCAAATGACAGTGTCACCAAGACTAAATCTCAGGTGCGCGCGCGCACAAACACACACACACACACACACACACACACACACACACACACACACGTCACCTAAGATCCTGCTGCCCAGCCCTGAGGTCTTCATCCTTCCCCATGGTTTGTACTTAAAAAACAGGAGGCTAGCTCTTGGCAAATTGTTAGAAATCAGGTATTATTTTGAATCCTTTATCTAATGTGTAATTAGATATTATTATTATATTATTAAAATACTTGGGTGTATCTAATCCTCATGCATACACTATAAGGACTACTTTACAAATGAGGAAATTGCTACATTTCATTAGGAATTATCAGGGCTGGGATTTGACCCCAGGCAGTATCTAGATCCAGAGCCCCTGATGAAGCCCGTTCCGACCTGCTCTTCTGTCGTATACCCCTCCCTGCCTGCAAATGCTTGATAGATGAACCACCTCCTCAGTACCTCACCCATAACTCTGACTTGGCCAGCTCCACCAGAGCCCTGGGGGCTTGACAGACCCCAGCCTCACTCTGGGTTCATCTGGTGAGGTGGGCAGCCCAAGCTGGGAGAGGTGGCAGCAGCCCAGCTCCTGTCTGCTTGCCACGGACTCCACGGAGCCTTCCAACTGGTGATGTAGGCAGTCTGTGCTCATGGTCCTGGAATCCAGGCACCCTGGGAAGATTCTGGGCCCCTGTGGCCTCAAGGTCCCATATGGGGGAAGGGAACGAGCCTTAGACAACAAAATAGGATGAGTGCCGAGGACAGGACTAGGTGAGTGGGTCAGAAGGGCAGCGGCGTGTGGGCGTACACAGGACGGACTGGGGAGCCTTCGACCGGCTCCAAAGCCTCTCCTGTTTTCTTTGGACAGTGGAGGGCACATGCTGAGAATTGGAGTGTGTCTTGGCAAGAGGATGGAGTGACAGAGCCTTCTGACCAGGGGAGGCCTGGCCCAGGGAGGCTGGCCTTTCGCTGTTCTTAAAGGCACAGCATGTATGAGTGGGCTGCATTTCCTGTTCCTCTGTCCCTCTAGAGAGAAGCCCTGGATCCGCTGTAATAATACAGTATATATAATCATAATATCTAACAGGAAGGAAATGAAGCTGAGGCCAGGGCCTTAGGGCCCAGCCGTGGCCAGGTGGTGAGTGCTGGTGATGTGTGCCTGGATGGTCCTTCCCTCCTCCCTATATCTCCCGCCATAGGATGCACATTAATCTCAACTCTCCCACCTTCTCCAAGGAAAACACGTGGGCGTGCCTGGGCATTTCACACTTCTAAAGAGGAGGAGGCTGGGGCAGAACGGAGGCATTTCTGGTAGCAGGTTGGGGTATTGCTTGAGAATTCTGGTAGGATGGGCTTCTGGCCCCCCAAATCCAAACCATCAAGACCACAAATGTCCGCAATTTCTTCAGTGCCTGGCTTCATGGCACACCCTTTGTCAGCTGGGGATGGGAGGGAGACTTAGGAGGTCTGGGTGAGGTGAGTAGTGTTAGCTCCTGTGGGAAAGAGTTGGGACACTGAGTTGGGTATAAAAGTCAGGCCTGGAGCTCAGCTAAAGGTTGCTAGGTCTCTTAAATCCCCGAATCGGAGTTGCAGCCTGTCTGAGAATCCTGGGTTTGGGCCTAGAGGCTGACACCAGGACTAGGGCAGGGAGGACAGGCCTCTCCTGCTGGCCTCCCAGCTGTGTGCCCTGCCTGGGGTGATGGGGAAGGAGAACCTCGAGTGTTCTTAGGGGGTGGTTTTCCTGTCACTGGAACAGTGCCTGGCGCTTACCAGGAACTCAGTAAACATCCCAGGTGATTGACAGCACTGTGTCCCTGACTGAGGGAAACACCCCCATAGATAGTTATTGTTACCCTGGTATGCCAGCAAGGCCCTGAGAGGTTCTGTGGCCCAGTTAGGAAGTGATGAAACCAGGATCCAAACTGGGCCCGGTCCCAGGGTGAGCAGAACCAGAAGAGTGGGGAGAGTCGGGGCCTTAAGGAGGACACATCTCAACATCTGGAAGGATTGGGAGGATTTCAGAAGGGGAGAAAGAAAGGACTAGGGTCTCCCTCCCCCACCGTCTGCTTTGTCCTAGGCTGAGCAGTGACCTCACAGGACTTTATTAACATCCTAATTGTATACAGCTGGCCTCCCTCTGGCCCTAATGAGCTCATTCTCCTCCCTACTTAAGGAGGCCATTGTAGCCTGGTCACCCTGGGGACAGCAGTGGCCTGGGAGTGCCCATCACTTCCTGCCACCCCCCAGCCAGGCTCAGCCCCCTTCTGGAGAGGCTCAGGCCCAGCTGCTCCCACTGTCCCTCTTCCTGTGCCTCTCTCTTTCCCTCTGGTCTTTTCTCTCTCTTTTTCTCTAACCCCGCCCCCATGTGCCAACATTGGGAAGACTCAGTTAAAATGCATTCCCAGAAACTGGCCAGACAGATAGACTCTTAGTTAACAACTGGCCACCAAAAATTACCTGTGACCTGAGATGGGCCACCTGGCTGGACCTGTCTTTGCCATCCATGTCCCCACCCTTTGCCGGGCATGTTGGACACGCCTCTTAGTTCTCTCCCTCCCTCCCCCTCTCCCTCCTTCCCTCCTTCCCTGGCACTTGAACCAAGATAAGAGGGGACAGTTCTGAGGCCTGCCAGGTAGGGCTGCCCTGGATTGACCTGGGTGCTCCTGTGGGCCTTTGATTCCTGGGGAAGGACGGAGGAGCAAAAGCAGCAGCAGGACTTTGCTCTGTAGGTGACTCCCCAGCCTGGGGCTCTGCCGGAAGACCAGGCTTCTGTTGTTGCACATCACATGCCCACAAGGTGCTCTCTCAGGCCCCTCTGAAACAAGCCCCTCTGCAGTTCTCCATTCACCAGCAGAGCGCGGGAGCCCCTCACCCACCCCTTCTAGGTGGAATGGCTATTCCGCTTGTGTGGAAAGCACACTACCCCAGCCATGCATAGGGCAGGGACGCTTAGCGATTAACAGCCCTGACCACACTGGAACTAGCTCAGTCCAGCCCCTGGCATTTTCTCTGGTTCTCTTCTTCAACCTTGGGAGACGGGCCCCATTAATTACTCTAATGTCAGAAGGGAGACTGGGACTCAGAAAGGCTTAGTAGCTGCCCAGGGTTGCACAGCTGGCCGATATTGAGACAGGGTAACTTCAGTGCCAGTGTTCAGGGGCCCAGCGTGTCAAGGAGCCACCTGTGCCCTCGTGCATGAAACAAGCACTCTTCCTCTGTAGTGCCAAGATCAGAGCTCTAGCTGAACTCTCTAGGTTTTAAGCCCTTCCTCATCTCTAAAGTGGGAAACTTAATGACAATAGCATTATTTCTCAGTGTCCTGAAGAGTAAGTAAAGTGGCCTGTGTCAGGAGTTGAGCATTCCTACTGTGTGTCTGGCTATAATTGTGCAATACATGCAGATGCAGACCCAGCTCTGTTTCCATGTGTACGTGTGTCCACCCACACATAGATGGGTATACATGCATAACTCACCCCACCCCAGCACACGTCCATCCACTCGCACAGACTCTAGCAGGAAAGGTACATGCATTGCCGTTGCACCTGGAAACCCAACAGGAGCTCTAGCTCGTACCAGTTACCCGTACTCAGAGGTTTGGGTCCCGTTCGCACCTCAGTGGAACAGTGGTGACTTTGGTCAGGAGCCTCATTGATGTCTGAGTCAATGGCATCTGGGAGAGGCCTGCCAGTAGCCATGGGTGGGAGCAGGTGGACACCTCTGCCCATGCCCACCCATGCCCACCTAGGCAGTATTTCAGCCTGCCCATCATGGTTTGTTGGAGGTGCCCACAGCTGAGCCAGTGTTAGGCTTCTTTCTAGAACCGTCAGCTCACTTGGCGCCAGTGGGGCCTGGGAGCTACCCAGCCCAGTCCTACAAGTGTTGGGGCCGGAGCAGAAGCCTAGTGTTCCTGGGCAGTGCTGTGTAGATGTAACCAACCTTCTTATTAAATAAGAAACACAGAACCAATGCAAAGAAGAAAGCCAAGAGATCAGAGCTAAGAGCCTCACCCGCCTGCTGCAGCTAGCATCTTAAGCCAAGAGACCTCTCCGAAAGAGAGCTACTTCCTGTCTGTTTGTCTTTATATAGACTTTCTGTTCTGCCTTCTCAGTGGTTGTAAAACCAACCACATGACTGCCTCATCACTGTCTGTTGTACAGCCCTCCAGGTCTTCTATGGTATTGAGATTAAAGGCGTGTGTCTCCAATGCTGCCTGTATCCTTGACACACAGAGATCCACCTAGCTCTGCCTACCAAGTGCTGGGATTAAAGGCGTGCGCCACCACCACCCAGCTTTTGCTATGGCTGTAATAGCTCTGACCCCCAGGCAACTTTATTTATTAACATACATTAAAATCACATTTCAGTACAAATAAAATACCACCATATTGCTGGCCACTAGGCTCTAAGGATGATGACAGTCTCAGCCCCAGGTCCTAAGCCACCACAAGAGAATGAAGTCCTAAGTTGATGTCTGGGGAAGTAGATATGCTTGGGTGTAGCCAGACGCCTCAGAAGTTTCTGGCATGTCACATTTTAGAGAGGGCACCTAGAGACAGTGTAAGGTACACAGGAAGAACCTAGTGATGCTCATCCAAGCCAGCCTCCATACATACCCAGCACCAAAGCCTGTGCAGCAAAGGTAGCCCGGAGAAGCAGGCCTGCCCCTGTCCCCAGGAGCTGCCTCCTCCATCTCTGCTTCTACAGGAAGGGAGGCAGCAACATGTACAAGGCAAATGCCCATGAGGGAAATTAGGGGAGGGGCAGAAAGCCTCCAAGGGAGAAGGGCCCTGACTCCTGGGGTCATAGCCCCTTGAGACAAGGAGAAAGGTCCACACAGGAAAGAGAGGGTAGGAACAAGAATCTGGTAGACTCAGGGAGCCACAGACTGATTGGATGGGATTGATAAGAAACCCCCCCTAGGAAAGTTGGGGTTCTAGGCCTCACATTGAGAAGAAGCATTATCCTCAGCCACCCCCACAAGCCCTCTGCCTATATGCACCCTTAGCTCCTGCCCAGGGTGACTTAGAAGGGTTGGAAGATAGTCACCTGCCTTCCTGGGGCCGTGAGAAGTTGCTTTTGAGGATGGCATTGGCAATAGGGACACTTTGGCATAGAAAAAGTCGGTCATGAAAGGATCTTGACAAAGCCTTACCTAGATGCCTGTTTCTCAACTGTTTCCTCCAAGCATATCTTGTTTTGTCCAATGACAATAAAACCCCTGGCTCCAGTCCAGATCCATCCTGGAGAAATGCACTCCTAGAAGAAGGGTTCCCATGAAGATCAGGCTTCTGTGGCCTGCTGGACACTGGCTTGGCATAGATGAACGGGCCTTCCGAGGGCAGCAGGAGAAGGGTCTGTGAGGGTGAGTTGTGGGCCACCAGTGTACTCTCAGCATTAGAACCTGGGGCTGCAAATATAGGTGTGAGCTTTGGCTTCCAAGAGCCTCTTGAAAAGTGACCCCGAGTTGGGTACTGTGGTTAACTACCCCTGAGTTCTTGGGGGTCCACCTGGTAAGCAGGATTGATACCCAAGCCTGCGGCGTAGTATTTCACCCACCTGAATTCAGCAGAGGGAGGAAGGTTCCCCTTTTAAATCTAAGGCCAAGGAGCAGCTGGTGAGCTTGCCGCCCCTGTGACTACCTCCCTGCTCCTCTCCATGAGTGGGCAGCCAGGGTCCTTTAACACCTGCTAGCCATCTCTGCAAAGAGTAGACAGAACCACCTCAAACATCAAAATGAAGCCGGAGCCTGGCGCGTCTCGACCAGCTTGTGATGCTCAGGGGCCTTCCTGGTTCAAGAGAGTTGGTCAGTGACAGACCTTTCCTCATATCCGTGAATGCTGACCCCATCAGTCTTCTCCAGCCACTGACATCATAAGCTCCGGCCTCACTTACTACCCAAATGTCAGAGCATCCAGGGTAAAGCAAAGGATGAATGAGGGCCCCGCAGGTAAGAAGCACCGCCAGCCTGAGCGTGGCCTCAAAGTGAGCATCCATCTCCCGCTGCCACAGTCCTCCACGGTGCGGAAAGCGCTTCCTGTCAGTCCCAGGATATGAGTCACCTGGAACCAATCAGTCTCTTTCCTCAGAAGCTGATTGTCCAGTTGTCTGGTGCCCTGGCAGCCACCTCCAGCCCCAGAGGCAAGGAGTGCTAGTGGACATGGGAGGAGCATTATTAACCTCTGGCCTGCCTGTGTCTCCCTGGTCCCCACAAGTGGGTACCAACACCTCCCTGTGTGGAATTGCTCAGTAGCCTCAACTATTCTCTCCTAAGTCTCACCTCTGCCTTAACCCAGAGACCTGTCATCTTGTGGATCACACCCAGCTGCCCTCCTCTGGCCCAAGGGATGGGCCTGATGCAAGAGGCCTTTGGGCCTCCAAGAAGGTTTAGATGAGCAGTCCCCATGGAGGTTGCCTGTGTGGCCTGGTCTTGCCATCACAGCACAGCATAGATTCTCAGGTTCTAGTCAAGGCTGTATAGTTGCTCTGTGCCATAGGGAAGGAGCCTCCTGCTGCCCTCTTTTTCACCTCTGGAAGAAATGAACACTGTGGCCTATGCCAGGTAGCCGGCAAGGGCCCTGAGCCATAGGATTTGAGCTAGAGAATTAGGCCAACCCTGTCAGCGACAGAGGAAACAGATCCCAGAACTTCATATAGTCAGTCACCCAACTAAGACCTCTGAAGCAAACGGGCCGTGGTCTCAATGGGCTTTGCAGAGCATCAAGCAGAGGACTGTGGAACCTCCTAGAAGGGTGGGTATGGCTCATCACAGACTATTTGGAAACCCAGGCTTGTAAGGGACAGTGAGGGCCTAACTTAAGACCTAGGAAGTTGTAGCAGGAATCTTAAAGAGTCTTATTAATAAAATCAAACCTGAGGCCAGTTATTGGGGTGAATGCTGGAAGATCAGAGAGACAGAACAGGCCACAGCTAACCTCACCTGGTCTTGTTTCCTCAGACTGGAAGCTTCTGTGTCCTCATCCCAATGGCTCTCAGCTGAACTGCTGCTCGAAAGCCTGAATGCTTAGCCAGCCAAAAGCTTCTTTTATATACCTTTCTGCTTTCTGTCATCACTCCCTGGGATTAAAGGCTCGCTTTCTTGGATTAAAGGCGTGAGTCGCCATGCTTGGCTGTTTCCAGTGTGGCCTTGAACTCACAGAGATCCGGATCTCTGCCTCCAGGAGGCTAGGATTAAAGGCATGTGTGCCACCATTTTCTGGCCTCTGTATCTAGTGGCTGTTCCGTTCTCTGGCCCCAGATAAGTTTATTAGGGTGCACAATATTTTGGGGAACACAATACCACCACAGGAAGTGGTGACCTGCGTTCTCAGGCCTGCCCAGCTCTTGGTTTTCCCTCTTCATTTTCTTATCGCCCATGGAGCATTCTCCTCCACCTTCCCAGGCCAAGCCCAGAAGACCCATTGTGTTTTCTCAGGCTCCACTTGCTGCTGCCCAAACCCCAGAGGGTCTGACTTGAACAGAAAGGATCCTTGGTGCCAGATTACGTGGAGGACAGGAGAGGAGGGAGGGGTGATGGGGGCAGGGTCCCCTAGTAAGGGCTGAAGACAGCCCGGAGACCCAAGACCAGGGCTTCAGATATTTTATTCTGCAACTGGTTTTTGAATGGATGAACAAGTGAGTGAACAAACAACATGAATGAACGAGAGAGATGAATGAGCCTCTGTCACGTGGCCTGATTGTCAGCGGTCACATGAGGATGCAGTGCCCACTTACTGTGATTTCAGTGTCAACACGCTCCGAGGGCAGCTGTGAGTAGCTGAAGTAGAGGCACCGCTGGCCCCTGTTAGAAAAAAGGAGACAGCTGACTGTTACTCTCTGTGAGGTAGTCAGGCCTTTCAGAACCAGAGGCTGCCCGGCTCCGGTGTACCAGTGAGATGAATGGGAAGGAAGAGCCGAGGAGGCCAGTGCCTGGACAGAACCTACTTCATGTTTCCTGAACAATGCATTCTACATTGGGGGCATACCATTGCCCGTTATACTTTTTAATGTTTCCATCAAATGTGCATGACAGTGGGTGGACATCTCCCCGACCCTCTTCCCAAGGAGATATTTGTCTTTTCTGCTGTGGTTGCTCAAGGCATTTCCCAGGTGCCCAGGTGGCTTGGTGCCTTGCCTCTGGGCACGCCTTGCCCTCTGGCCACTCCTGCCCTCCACGTCCTGGCTCCAACCTGCCACCACCGTCCTGCAGGCATTCACAGCCTGTTCTCTCTTGTCCCATTTGCAGGCTGGTGGTTTGTGAGCACGTCTGAAGAGCAGGGTTGGGTCCCTGCCACCTACTTGGAGGCCCAGAATGGCACACGAGATGACTCAGAAATCAACACCTCCAAGACCGGAGAAGGTGAGGGCCTGTGGGTTCTTAGGATGGTAATAAGGCTGGTCTAAAGGGTTTTCCAGGTGCCAGCCCCTCCTGGAGGCAGCTCCCCAACTCTTCTCCCTAAGCCTCCTGGACTCCTCCAGTGGATTGGGTCTTGCCCAAGCCCCTTCTATTGGGATTCATTCACCGAGACCAACCCACACCCTGACCTGTGTTTGCCAGCCCCATGTAGGGCTCAGAACAGGGAAAATTCTCCTGGGTTGTGGACTTTGACAGCTTTGGGCTAGAGAACAGGCTTAGGGCTAGGAACTACCAGAAAGTTCTCCCCCAGAAACTCCCAAGTTTCTCTCCAGAACTCCACAGAGACCTGCCTCTACTCCCAGCTCCCCACTAGGCTCCTGCGGCAAAGACCCCCAAGCAGTCATGTGGACACGATTCCTGCTGTGTGTCGTCTTTCCTACTCTGACACTGACAGCTGCCCAGGGGTACAGACCAGGCTGGCCTGTGAGCCACCTCTCAGCTTCCCAGAGACTGGAGTGCTCAAGCTCCCACACATCACTCCTCTCTCTGCTGGCTCCAGCTCCATGAGAATCTTCCGGGTATTTCTCTTTGCATTTCAGAGAGACTGCCTCTGCCCTCTAAGCCGGCAGTACTCCAACAAGTCCGAGCCTCGCATGTCCCAACTCCCTGTTCCTCATGCCTTCCAAATCTCCTGTGGCCTGGCAGCAGGAACCCTTTCCCTAACGGTCAGTCAGCAGGACTGGTCCAGATGGCCGTGTCTGAAGGCCAGAGAGATGTAGACCTGCCACCCACAGCTCAGGCCTATTTCCCCTCCTCCCTGCAGCCCAAGCCAAAATAAGCAGCTCATAAAGGGCCAGATCCTTATTCATCCTTCCCTAAGATGTTAGTTACTCTGTTGGTGGTTGGGGCCCCACCCTTCTTGTGTCCATGCCTTATTTCAGCCCTGTGATTAGAGGAAGGACTTCAAACACATCCTTGTAACAGGACTCTAGAGCCTGGGTCCCCTTGGGAAGAGCTGGGACGTTCAGACAGAGCTGTTCCCGTCCTGAATCCTTGAGCCTGTATCTGACTCTAGTCTGGTTCTTTCGTACCTCTGAGCTGGGTTCCATCCGGTCTGTCTGCAGACCTTGCTGCCTACCTACGCTTCAAGCCTGCTGGGCCTCTCAATAACAGCAGCTCTCTGGGCGTGGCATTGCATGCCTGGAATCCCAACACTTGAGAGGTGGCGGCTGAGGGTCAAGACTTCAAGACAAGCCTGAGTACATGAAGACCCTGTTTTAAAAGAATAAAAAGATAAAACCTCTCAAAAGGCCCCACTGCCAGGCCAGGAGCAAACCCTTATTACCTACCCTGAGAGAAGACATATGTCATCTTTCTAATCGCAAAGACATTTAGTCACATGTTTGTCCTCATCAGGTTTGGGTGCAAGTGGACTTCCTATTGTGTCATGGCCTCTCTGAAGCATCTGCTTGTAAGGAGGGAAGGCCGCTCTAGGCTTGTCAAGGGGAGTGCATGACAGATAAGCTACAGCAGGAAGAGGGCAGAGGTATTGGGTAGCAGTGGAGGCCCCAGACAGAATCGGACAGGGTAAACAGTGCTCAGCAGGCCTGGTTAGAAGAGCATGGGTACTTAGCACGGAACAAGTGGTAACAGACGTTCTGCTGCTGTGTTAGACACCTCGACCAATAACAAGCTGGGGAGCAAAGGGTTTATTTCCCTTCCAGGTTATAGTCCATCATCAAGGGTAAGCCAAGCAGAAGCACAGAGGAACACTGGTTACTGGTTCAATCCCCAGCTTCCACTCAGCTAGCCTTCTTAAACAGCCCAGGGCACACACACACCCCCACCGAGCCTAGGGATGATACCGCCCACGGTGGGCCAGGCCCTCCTCCATCAGCCAACAGTCAAGAAAACGCCCCCATGATGGCTACTGTCTAGTCTGATAGAAGCCCCTAATTGAGATGCGCTCAGATGTCTCTGAGGTGTGCCAGGGTGACAGCTGAAGTTACAAGACAGGTTGTGGAAGAATTAGGGGGCAGCCAGGGTAACTTCTAGGTTCACATGTGTGTATATGCATGTGTGCACCAGGAATGCTACTGCTCTGCATGCTTCTAGGAAGACCTTTGTGACCCAGATCTACAGAGCCTTCACTGGGCAGTGGAAGAACTAGAGTGTGTCTGGGCTGGAGCCCACACCCTTAGCCTGTTGCCTAGGCCTCTGTGAGAAGTAGGTTGCAGGCTTAGAGAGATGCCTCAGTGGTTGCTCTTCTAGAGGACCTGGGTTCAATTCCCAAGACCCACAGTGCAGCTCACAACCATCTCAAATTCCAGTTTCAGGGGATCCAATGCTCTTCTCTGCCATTGGTGGACATACATGCATACACATAAAATAAAAAATAAAATAAAACTCTTAAAAAAGAAATGAGAGGAGGTTGCACGGGCCACTCTCCTCCTAGGGCAAGGAGATATTCCCAGAGGTTTTACTGGATTTGGGCCCAGGTGTGTGCGGACAATGTTACTTTTATCCTCTCTACCCATCAGCCACCCTCTCCAGAACTAGGCAGTCTGGCAGCTTCTTTTGGTGCGAGGCGGTGAGGCAAGCTGGCACCCTGGGGCCCTGGTCCATTGTACATTCCCTTAGGAGTCACATGAGAAGGCAAAGCGTGGGGAGCCAGGCCCAGGCCTGAGGGTGCATGGGAGCTCAGTGTTCATCTGCAGTGGGGGGTTGGGGGGGGCGGTGATTCAAGCAAAGTAGTCTTGAGCAATGAGACACTGAGGAGTTGTGGTCTTTGTCATCAGAAACAAAAGGATAGCATAATGGAACAGAACCTTGCCTGTAACATCCGCCCATGTGCGTTTAATTCAGCAAACCTTTCCTGGGCCAGTACCTGGTATTGTGTAAGGCCCTGGGGACACACAGATGCAAGGCACAGTCATCACCCTCCACAGACCCCACTTAGTGGGGATAAATAAGAAAGCAAAGATATAAATCAGCACAGAGTGGAGAGGGCTCTGACCCAGGCAGGAAGAGGTGCCCCACTTCCCATGGGCACCCTTCTTCCCTCACATGGTACCTGGCCGTGGTGACAAGCTGACAGTCATGCTTGGTGAGTGGACAGCAACACTGTCCAGAACTCACAGAGCAATGATCCCTCCATCTCTAGGGGCTGTAGTTGAGGGTCTCCCCATCTCTAAGGGAGCAGGACCCTAAATCCTTTAGTCTACTCCTAGATTTGGGGATAGAGACTGAGGGGCTTAGCTGAATATGTCTCTACATGCTGACAGGGCCGCCTGTCAGATCATTCCTCATCCAGCTAGGGTGTGCCCCTTGGTTCAGTCTGGTTCGGTCTAGGCGACAGTAACCCGGCAGTGTGGACACATCCCCCTCTCTCCTCCCCTCCACCATCCCCTCTCATCCCCATCTCCATTCTCTCCACCGGTTTGGTTCGTGTGGGCCGTGGGCACCATCACCATCTCTCACGTCAGTGTCCAAGAGACGCAAAGCCCACCTGCGGCGGCTGGATCGCCGGTGGACCCTGGGCGGGATGGTCAACAGGCAGCAGAGCCGAGGTGACCGGGCGCCTGCCTCTCCTCCCTGCAGACGCTTGTTTCTCACTAACACCCTCTCCTCTGCCTGCTCTGCTCTCTGCCTGTGGTCTCCTGACTCACCCAGATCTGGCTAGACTTTTTCTCCTTCACTCCAGCTCAGACTGGGGACAGGGCCTTGCTTGGGAATTGATTGGACTGGTGCAGGGGTGGCTCTGGCTTGCTAGTGCCCTGGGTGTTGGGGTTGTGGGACTGATGGTGAGTTTATATGTTCCTTGGAAGGGAAGAAAGGCATGAGGGAGGTCGGAGTTCTCAAAGGAAGGCCATCCCTGTCCCTGGTACCACATATTAAAGAGATCACAGCTCCTGTTCCCACCAGGGCTTCCCCTCATGTCCCTTACCACTGGCTTCCACTGAGAAAGACTCCCTCAGCCACGCTCTCCCACCAGCTGCTATACCGGCCTACAGCCCTTCTGCAGTAGCTCCGCTTGAACCTAGAAGGGCATAGAAACCCATCGTGTCGCCAAAGTATTCCCCAACCAACACTGATGAGGGGCCCTCCCTCAGCAGGAGCACTGACCTCAAGGATCTCAGGAGGAGTTCAGTCAAGGGCTCCAGGAAGGCATTGGGCTGACTAGGGAGCTGACATCTGCTGATTCAGGGCTGTTTGGCCCAGACCCTTCCCAACATCCCGGGATTTGTAGAAGGGGTGGGGGATAGCCTCTGGATGCACCCCTAAACATCTGCAGACCTTCATGCTGGTGGGTGGTCAATCTTTCCTATCCCACAGAGAGTAGAGCAGAGGATGTACTTCTTGTGGTAACAATAGAGCTGGAAGCTGAGGTAGGTGTTCAGTGAACACAGGCCTCTCTGGAAAACGGGGATACCCCGTGACTCAACACCCTCACCCTCAAAGCTCATTCCCAAGTGACAGTGTATTTCAGTGCCTTCCCCAAGACTCAGGCTACAGAACGTGTAGACTTCAGGGTGGCCACAGCCAATGGCTGACTCAGTGTTGGCCATAAAGAACCCAGCTTGTCCTGAGGCAGGGCTTAACGTGGACCCTGGGGGCTGATGTAGGCGGCCTGAGTTGGAGAAGCAGCAACAGGCCACACTTAAGGCAAAAGCCACCCTAAAGCCAGGAGGAAGGGGACAACTCGGCCAAGAGGCTCGGGTAGACCACGGCCTCCAGCTCTAGTGGCAGAGACAAAGAGCATGTGGGCCCAGAATCACACAAGGAAGACAGAGGTTTGGCCTGTTCTGCATACCATCACTCGCCGAGTCCTAGACATGCCTTTGCCTGCATGACCACACAGATGCACAGAGACCAGAGAC